TAACAGATACTCTGCTATACCGAGAGACCCACCGAGGCTCATTACTGAGGGCAATTCACAGAAATGCAGCAGACAGACAGTTCTAGCGTGCAAAGTACTGACAGATAAGCAAGGACAGTTATTCAAGAAGCGCTTAACCATCAAGGAAGGTGAGGAACAGAAGACTGAACTGTCAGAGGAACAAAAAGGTATTAATGTAGAGCCAGAAATGGGAGTGCTAGGAAGGAGGAGAACTATTAAATGTGATTCTATATTTACTCAAACACACAACTAGGAAAAATAAAGAGACTGAGTAATGTTACACATGTATGTTCTGAAAAATGTGTACCAGTTTCCATATACCTGTATACACTTCTGTTAAAATAGCTTTATTCCCACAAAACTATCATTTTATTCCTACAAAATATATCATAGCTTATATATATATACCTAATACACATTGTATATACAAGTGTATCTTGGAGATATTGCAGGTTCAGTTCTAGAACCCTGTAATAAAGTGAATATCACAATAAAAGGGATATTGCAATAAAGAGAGCCAAACAGATTTTCTGGTTTCCCGGTGCATATAAATGTTGTTTACACTGGTCTATTAACTGAGCAATACCACTATATCTAAAAAAAACAATGTACATACCTGAATTAAAAAATACTTTATTGCTAAAAAAAAAAAAAATGCTAAGGACCACCTGAGCCTTTAGGGAGTCATAATCTTTTTGCGGGTCGGGGGTCCCGCCTTGCTGCTGTGGTGCTGACTGAGCAGGGGGATGGCTGCTGAAAGCTGAGGGGGCTGTGGCAATTTCTTAAAATACGACAACAGTGATGCCTGCTGCATCGATTGTGCCTTTCACAAAAGATTTCTCTGTAGCATGTGACGCTACATGTTATCATTTTACCCACAGAATTTCCTTCAATATTGGAGTCAATCTTCTCAAACCCTGCCGCTGCGTTACCAGCTCAGTTTGTGTAACATTCTTTTTGTCATTTCAATAGTATTCACAGCATCTTCACCAGGAGTACATTCTATCTCAAGAAACCACTTTCTTTTCTCATTCGTAAGAAGCAACTTCTCATCTATTCAAAGTTTTTACTTACTTACGTATTTATTTATTTATTTGACAGAGTCTTACTGTTGCCCTGATGGCGTCAGCCTAGCTCACTGCAACCTCAAGCTCCTGGGCTCAAGCGATCCTCCTGCCTCAGCCCCCCAAATAGCTGGGACTACAGGCGCATATCACGGTGCCCAACTGATTTTTCTATTTTTGGGAGAGACGGGGTCTCACTCTTGCTCAGGCTGGTCTCGAACTCCTGAGCGCAAGCAATCCTCCCACCTCGACCTCCTAGAGTGTTAGGATTACAGGCATGAGCCACCATGCCCAGCCTTCAAAGTTCTATCATTGTAGCAATGCAGTCGTATCTTCAAGCTCCACTTCTAAATCTAGTTCTCTTGCTATTTCCACCACATCTGCAGTTATTTCCTCCACTAACGTCTTGAACCCCTCAAAGTCAAACATGATGGATGGAATCAACTTATTCCAAACTCCTGTCCATGTTGATATTTTTGGTTTTGGAGATGAGGTCTCACTATGTTGCACAGACTGGTCTCAAACTCCTGAGCTCAAGCGATCTTCCTCCCCTAGCCTGGATTGCAGGTGCATCCACTGTGCAGGGCTCATGTTGATATTACGGCCTTCTCCCATGAATCATGAATGTTCTTCATGGCATGTAGAATGGTGAATCGTTTCAAAGGTTTTCAATTTACCTTGCCCAGATCAATCAGAGGAATCACTATCTACAGCAGCTATAGCCTTATAAAATGTATTTCTGAAATAATAAAAATTAAAAGGTGAAATTCCTCTTTGATCCATGGGTTCCAGAATGGATGTTGTGTACATCTCCATCAGAGCTCTTGGATGACCAGGTGCATTGTCAATGAGCAGTAATATTTTGAAAGAAGTCTTTTTTTTTCCTGAGCAGTAGGGTCTCAACGGTTGGCTTAAAATATTCAGTTAACCATGCTATAAACAAACATATGTGCTGTCATCCAGGCTTCGTTGTTCCACTTCTAGAATACAGGCAGAATAGATTCAGCATCATTCTCAAGGGCCCTAGGATTTTTGGAAAGGTACATGAGCACTGGCTTCACCTTAAAGTCACTAGCAGCATTAGCCCCCAAACAAGAGAGTCAGCCTGTCCTTTGAAGCTCTGGAGCCAGGCATTCATTTCTCCTTTCTAGCTATGAAAGTCCTAAATGGCATCTTCTTCCAATAGCAAGCTATTCTGTCTACACTGCAAATCTGTAGTATAGCCACCTTCGTCAGTGATTTTGGCTAGATCTTCTGGATAACCCGATACAGCTTCACCATCAGCACTTGCTGTTCCACCTTGTACTTTTATGTTACGGAGACGGCTTCTTTCTTTAAACCACATCAACCAACCTCTGCTACCTTTGCTTATGCAACTTCCTCACCTCTCTTAGCCTTCACAGAATAGAAGAGAGTTAGAGCCTTGTTCTGGATTAATCTTAATCTTAAGGGAATGTTGTGGCTGGTCTGATCTTCTACCCAAACCACTAAAGCCTTCTTTGCATCAGCAATGAGGCTATTTCACTTTATCATGTGTGTGTTTACTGGAGTAGCACTTCTCATTTCCTTCAGGAATTATTCCTTTCCATTCACAACTTGGGAAACTTGCGGTGCAAGAGGCCTAGCTTTTGGCCTATCTTGGCTTTTGTCATGCCTTCCTTACTAAGCTTAACCTCTAGCTTTTGATTTAAAGTGAGAGTCATACAACTCTTTCTTTCACTCGAACACTTGGAGGCCACTGTAAGGTTATTAACCGGCCGAGTTTCAGTGTTGTTGTTTCAGGCAACAGGGATGCCCATGGAGAGGCAAAGAGATGAAGGAGCAGTGGCTGGTGGAGCAGTCAGAGCACACACATTTACCCATCAGGTGTGTTGTCTTACAAAAAGGCACAGTTTGTGGTGCCCCAAAACATCACAACAATAACATCAAAGATCACTGATCACAGATCACCGTTAACAGATATAATAATGAAAAAGTTTGAAATATGACAGGAATTACCAAAATGTGAAAGAGACATGAAATGAGCACATGCCATTCACTGACAGACTTGCTCAACACAGGGCTGCCACAAAGCTTCAATTTGTAGAAAAGGCATTATTTGTGAAGCTCAATAAAATGAAGTATGCCTGTATTCTCTAGCGCCTTGAAGAAAAATTCATGTAACATTAAAGTTACACTTAAATGTTATCATCCCAAGATGATTCACCTGTCTTAGAAGAATTAAATTCAATATTCTCTAGCCCAAGATGATTCACCTTTCTTAGAAGAATTAAATTCAATATTCTCTAGATTACAATACTAAAGGCAAGCCAAAGGGAAACTCCATTTTCTCATCAATAAAAATGTTGTCTGAAGAGCTTTCCAAATTGAATATATATTATCAGCAGTCCTCGAAGTGTGTTTTGCAGACCCCTAGGGGGTTCCAAGATCCTTTTCTCAAAACAATGCTAAGATGTTCTTTTATTTTCCACTGTGCTGATGTCTGCACTGACGGTGCAAAACCAACGGTGGCTAAATCTGCTGGTGCCTTAGTGAGAATCGAGACAGAGACACCAAACTGTACCAGCAGTCGCTGTCTCCTTTATTATCATCGCTCTCACAGTGACGATGTCAGTTTCACTGAAGAATGCCCTTGATGAAGGAATAAGCATCACCAGTTTCATTAAATTTCAATCTGTGTACATGTCTCTTTCGTATTCTGCACAAAAAACACTTCCACTGCGTAATAAAATACAACGGCTAGGCAATTTTTTGGATTAGGAGGTGAACTAGCCACTTTTTTCATGGAACATCATTTTTACTGGAAAAAATAACTGATAAACCTTGGTTTTATTTCTGGAAAAATGAACAGAATAAGTCTGGTGCTTAAAATGTGAGCTTTCAGAAGAAAAA